GGGGGGGGGGGGGCAATGAAAATGTTCTGGAATTAGGTGGGTGTGATGGTTGCCTGTACTAAAAACCGCTGAATTGTAGGAATTCTATAGTATGTGAATTATATTTATAAAAAAACAAAGCCCCCATCTGTTTCCCAAGTGCTCAAGCCCAGGGCTGCGGAGGGTCTGTGTTGGGGTGACTGGCCTTTCTCTTCGCAGGCTTCTCATCGACATGGTGCCCAGGGTGAGGCAGACGCGCCACTACGAGATGTTTGAGTGAAGGAGGCCGGGGCCGGCTGCCCTGCATCCGCATGAGGACTGTCAGGGCCACCAGAGGTTTCCATGCAGGCAGACGGTACTGATGTTTAACTGAACGTTCACTTTCTTTGTGCTCACGGGAACCAGGTCTCCCCAGCAGGCCGGACCGCACTGCTTCCCGCCACTGCCCCCGCCAAACACCGCAGGACCATGAGCACGGAGCAGGACCCCGTCTCCGGCGGGAGGACTGACCTTTTCCATCTTCTGCAGTAAAAAGGTTCGTGTGGGGAGGATACGACGTCTGCTTGGTGGAATGCCTCTGGGATGCTCCCAGCCGCAAATGGAGAGCAGCTCCCCGGACTCACCTCCTCGGTCCTCCACGTGGGCCCGGAGTCTCCTGGCAGATTTTAAGAGGAGACCGTACCCGTTGGTCCCTCACCCCTTTATCACTTCCTAATTTCTGTCCATGTATTTCACTCATTTCGTACTGTTTTACTAATCCTCAATCTAAACACCAGATTTGTTCTGAAGGAGGAGACCATTCTATTTTTAAAGTGCTTCGTGATAGATGTGTGAGCTTCTGCATGGTCGAACTCAGCCCCTGACCTTTCCTTGTACATTCAGAACCCGAACGTACGTGTAAACACAGGATCCCTTTTGGAGAGGCGTGAAACTAGTTTATTTGTAATAAATAATTATATAATCTATCCATATATGTATCTATATGCTGTGTGACGTGGTAATGGTACATTTCAGTCTGTTCACGTAGTAAGGAACAGGCTGTTCTCGGTTTATGCAGCGTTAGGCATAGATTCTGTTAAAGACACACACACACAAAAACGGTCTCCCCACACGCAACATTCTGTACCTCTAGCACTGCTGCTTGTCCGGGCGACGGTGACCAATAAAGACCTTGACCTGTTTTGTACGGTATGGGGACGTGATGGTAAAGGTTGTCACTGCTGTGGGTGAAGCACGGGGTGTCTGTCGGGGGGGGGGGGGGGGGGTCAGTCCTACCCCCCGCTCAGGGAGGGGAAGAGAGAGTAGCCACATACGTCCATGTGGTGGTGCCTGGAGCTGACCACCCCCCCCCCCAGCTACCTTAGGCCCCGGAAGGGAAGGTGGTGTGGTCCTAAGAGGTCACTGACCTTGGAGAGGAAGGCACGCTGAAAGCATCCGATTAAACCAACGGCATTTTGAGGCATATTCTATTGGGCTGTTACCATGTTGCACAGAAGAGATGGACACTGTCCAGGTCTGGGAAATGCAAGATTCAATAGGTTTCTTTTCTGCAGGTTTTCTCCCTGTATTTACTGTTTAATATAGTTCCCATTGTGACTGACAGCTATGCCGTGGCAGCCCCCAAACTTAGGCACTCCAGTTATGCTCACCTTCCTTGGGGACGTGTGTCCCATCAAACATGCAGGCTGTCTCCCTTGGTGTCTCTGCTCTGGGCAGCGACCAGAAGGTTCACCAGCTTCGGAGAGGCTGCATCACGGCACTCCACCATCCCCACAACAAGCCCCCGGTGGGAGCATGAACTTGAACTTCCTTGTTCCCAGGGCCTGTGCCTAACCACACTGAGCCCTGGGGTCAAAGTGCTCTCTCTGAAGTGGGGAAGCATGTTCCAGGTCTAATAAGCCCTCCGATAGCCTCTTAAGGGCTATCTTGCTAGCACATCCTTCAAGATTTTTAAACATCTGATGTAGTACAGTTACCTACAAAACAAACAACAGTCTACCTGCAAACTCAATTCCCTTCTAGGTGAGCGTGCTCTGCAATTAGTGTCAACGTGGGTGTGATGATGCAAAGGAAAGGGTGTTCCATAGGGAGCCCCCCACCTCCCCAATTCCTTAAACCTACCTTCCTATCAGCATTTTCGGCAGTGTACCTGCAAACGGTGAAACGCAGTCGGCAGCTGCCACCGCTGGGGGATGCAGCTGGACGGGGTCCTGCTGGCGCCCTGGTACCCGCCCGCCCCGTCCCCAAGTCACTTCCATCTGTCACACAAGAAAAGTTTATTGAAAAATAAAGTTCTCCCTAGTTTTCTCTACAACAGTGGAAAACAAAGCAGTGCTCTCTACGCCGGTACAGTACATTTGACAGCAACACCTTATTTGCAGAATCCCGCACTACTTAACCCCAGAAGTGAACAGTAGAAAATGGTTGTACCAGGAGCTGGCTGAAGACACAGACGCGAATGGCCATTAGCTTACAGACATCAAGGCTGTGACAGCAACTACAGCAGAAAGGACGTCACCATCTCCTTTGGCATAGACTTCCACTCTTGTTCATACCCAGGTAGGCCGGTGAGCAAAGGCATCCCACGTCTGCTCCATCTCAGCTGCGCCAGAGGTGGCTGCCTGTGCTAGGTTCCTGGCCGGCTGGCCCAGGGAGCCCTCCAGCACCGCCAAGGCTCTGAGCCTCCAGGACCACCCTTGCCCCCCACGGACCCAGATGGGGCCCTGCCCGACGCACGAGCGCACGGCTGCCCTTGCATCCCTTTGTCGTGCCTCACCGGATGCAGGGGGCTGGGGGGTAATCTGAAGGCGCCACAAGATCTGGGAAGAATAGAGGAAATGATGCTTTGAAGAAGGTAAGTTCCAATCTTAAATGCTGATTCAGCTGAAGAGAATCCAAAGGATCTGAAAAAGACACCAGACTCCAACATATTCCTCCATTTTGCACAAATGCAATCTATGCAGAATAGGGCCAAGATAGATAGGAGAGGAGATAAAACTCTAAACCTATCTAGGGAAGCAAGAGGCTGAAACTAACCCCCCCCCCCCCCCCCCCCCCACCCCCGCCAAAAAAAAAAAAGCGAACTGACATTCAGGTGATCTGGGAAAACAACATTAAGCCCCGAGTAGCCTCTTGGAGCTCTGAAGACGCCCCCACCACCCCCATAGAATAACCTTTAATGTGAGAGAAACGTGACAACTAACCAGCCTGGGAGACTGATCCTCTTGGACTGGACAGTGCAGGAGCCACCCTGGCCAGCAGGGGGCGCCAAAAGGGGCTTCCTGGGGAGCGATTAAGTTCAATTGGTCATTCCTTTCCCTTTCAATAAAAAACAGAAACGCCTCTATCATTGCATTTCAGAGAAAGATGGGTAACTTTAAGGGGACAGTCAGAGAATTCATTTTAATTTCCAGCTCACCAAGTTCTGCAAAGCAAAACCCTGGAAGGGTCCAGAAGCTGAGTGGGGTGCGGTCCACAGCATGTGGCCAGAGGTCACCCTCTTATGTTCAGTTTGCTAATTCTTGCGGCCCAGTTCCATCTGGGGCTGCAGTCAGGCGTATTTTCCAGTCAGTGCATTTTAACCAGCAGGGTGGACACAGGACTCAGGTATCTTCCACCACTACGTCCTACAACATTCCATCAACTTGGGAGTATTCTCCCGTAGGTATTACTTTTGAATCAAGGATAGGAAGTGAGCTCAGCTCTTTTTTTCTCGAATTTTATGAAAGGCGAATAACGACAATATTTAACACTCACTAGGGCTTACTATATGCCAGACACTGCTAAACACTGCTAATTCACTGCTAAACTGAATCCTCACAAAAACCCTAAGTGCTAAGAACGCTAGGGTAGTTTTTTTCTGCATCGGACACTAGACAGCTAATTTGGCCTTTTGCTATAAAAACTTGGTTTTCCATTTTTTTGTTGAAGCCCACAAGAAGGAAAGGAACCCGCCCTGTGCTTTAGGAAATTCCTACCTTCCTAAAGAAGTCTGAATCTCTCTACATCCATCCAGCTCTTCACACGAAGGTGCTCTGCAGCCCCATAGGGATGGATGGGGTTAGAATGAAGCCAGTGTAGAAATGAAAATATTTTTCAATAAATACAACATTCCAGGCATGGGAGAGTAACACAACTGAGCCTGTCGTTAACAGACGTTTTTTTTTTTAAATCAAGAATTGCGGGGGGCCATGGGAGAGGGTGGCAATGTTCCCATTAAATACACAATCTAGGTAAACCACCTCGGAGAACGGGGTGGCCTGCCTTGGTCTGGTCTAAAAAGCACAAATCCACCCATAAACAGAACAGTTTCTGTCTACCTGGTCACACTCGTGGCTTCACTACCAGTGAGCTGCACTGGGGCGCCCCAAAGTGAGCTTACCGGGAAGCTGAGTAGTCACTTTTATCGAACCCCACGTTTGCCTAAGAAACAAAAAAAGGGGGTGCGTATTCTTCCCCTTCAACCTGCTAACCAGATGAAGTGGTTTTGGGCCAGTGCTTCCATGAGTTCAGCAGGGCCTGCTTCCCTTCAGTGCAACCCCTCAGGTAGGGCTGGTTTTCTGCTGCGGCCAGACCTCACCAAGCTCCCGGGGTGGCACGTGTCAACCAGCAGTTCCCAAACCGAAAGACCTGGCCGAGCAGCCTGGGAAAGTATGGGCTGGTCTGGAGAAAGTCAGACCTTTTCTTGGGGGTTCTCATGGCTTCATGGGGGTGTATGTGCCCCTACACTATGGCCCGGGGTGGGGGGCTTGGAGGGCATTTCCGGCACCCAGCCTGAGTTGCCCGCAGTGATGCCAGGGCATGTCCTATCTCCAAGCTGGAGGAGTCTGCTAGCTTCCTTCAACAAAACCCAGATTCCAAAAACCAACCCCACATTCCAAAAACGAACCCGAAAGAAAAGTGAAAAGGCACCTCAGAGAAAAAATAAATATCACCAAAGAAATATCTCCAAACGTACAGCAAAACACACAAAAAGTAAACTATAAGCAGTGACAAAACCGAATCTAAGCAAAAATGCAAAAAGCTTCTCCAATTGTACTTGTGCAAATCGAATTACATACAGGAAATAAATGAGGTGTTTACTGGCGGGAGAAGTGTTTCCCCTTTCAGGAACTTTTATTCCTGAAAGTCTTTACATTTCAAAGGAAAGCTTTCTCTCCTTTAATAAATTAAATGTTTTCCCTCGAGTTGTTTTTTTTTTTTTTTTTTAAGAACTTAGGATCACAGGGGAGGGAAAAAAAAAAAAACCCAAATCTTTTAGGAAAAAAATGTACGAAAACTAAAGACCAGGCAAGAGATGAGAGATGCTCAGAGCACAAGAAGACACTAATCCTGATTGGAATTGTCATCAATTACCAATTAATTGGTTTAGGATTCTATTAAGATTGGCATTGGCAAAACCATCGAAGGCTCCCAGCCCACACTCTGAGAGGTGCCTTCCTCTCCCAGGGCAGGTAGGAATCGCACCCCTTCCTGTGCAGGGCAGATGGAGGTCCCTATCCCAATGTCCTCTTGGGTCGTTGACCAGACTTGGGCCACGTGTGTGGAGGCCTGAGAGCCAGTATACATTCAGTGTTGCCGCCTCTGTTCATAATGCCCTCAAGAACTGGAGTGTGGGTTTCTTTGCCCCAGGAGCAGCAGCCCTGCGGGCAGAGAGCTCTGGCTTACTTCCATTACTAGAAATGGGGGGAAGCCACAGGAATCTTCAAATGGGGGAGGTGCTCTCCTGGCTGCCTGACCTGAGAGTCCTGACCTGAAGAAGAGGAATTCTCCAGAAGGCGGAGAGTCCCTGAGCTCAGGGTCAGCCAGCAAACAATCTCTGCAGCTTCTGGAACACAAGCCCGGCACAGCATCTTGCTGAGAACAGGGTTTTCCAACTTCCTTGCTTTCAGAGTTCCTGGGTTGGCTGTAACAGCTCTCTCACAAAATGGCTTTATCTGGCCGGGTGGGAAAAAGGTCTCGGCCCGCCGGCGCCCCCTGCTGGTCAAACACCGGCACTCATGTCCTCAGCACTGGAAGCTCCCAGAAGAGGGCAGCACCGGCCCAGGAATTGCAGACCTGGGCCCTCAAGCAAATTGCCACCAGCGAGGCTGCAGCCAGGAGTCCCATCTGTAGGGAAAAGCAGTTCCCCACAGCAGGGATAGCAGTTGTTTCCTCCCACTGCGGGAAACCGCCCTTGCAAAGCTTCAAGGCACCCAGGCACTGGCACCCTCCATCCTTATTGCTGTCCTCAGCCAGGTTGTGACGGGCGGGCCCCTGCATCCACGCTCAGAGCAGAGAGACCTCCCCGCCAGCATTCTCCCTGGCACATGTGGGCCACCTATGGGGTCGGGGAGACCCCGGCTGCCATTCCTCCCTCCTTCCATTCTCTAAGATGGGAGGTGCAATTAAGACCCACGGAGGGTTTAAGAAAAAAAGGCTGGCTGTGCGCTTGATAGTAATTTTACACCCAAGAAGAATCTAGAAGCAGGCGGAATCTAACTTCCCATAACTCAAGTCTCCACACTCCATCTGGTCCTCTGAAAGCAGAATTCTAACTTTAACCTCATGTCCCGAAGGCCCACCCAGGCCATTAGCCTTGCCCAGCTGCTCTGCTCGGCGACCAAGGCACTCAGAAGCATGAGTGACGGCTGGACGGATCACGGGACAGCTCATAAGGGGGAAGTTCCGCCACAGAGAGAGGAGGGCTCACTCTTAGCAGTACGGAGATGCCAGGGGCATCGCAGAAACACACGCTTACACGCACAGCACTGAAGCACGGGGTGGAGGTGTGCAGGACCGGGGCAACTCACACAAAAGCGGGGGGGTGGGGGTGACTCCACGGTTTGGTCCAACCTGCCAAGCGGCTCACCACCGCCGCCCCCCACAAATATCTGTGCCTGGAGTAAAAGCCAGCATCACATTCCTACCCCTTGCAAGCCGCACCCACACTCACAGGTGAGGGGCCAGGACAGTGCACATGCCTGCCCTTGCTCCCCGAGCCGTCATCGGGTTCACCAAGAGCCCCATTCCCTGGACTTCAGTGACATCAGACATTAGAGGGAATACAACACAAGCCCATCCGTCTAGAACCCAGCTCTGGTGGTCCCTAAGACCAGCTTCACTCCCGTCGAAATCTCAGCTCGAAGACAAATCTCTGAAGGGGCAAAGAGCACAGCCTCCAAGAGCTCCAAGGGTAGCTCTTCTAATCCTAACCAGAAATTACAGCCAAGGTTGTATGTGGGTGTGGGTTTGGGTGCGAGTGTGTTTTCGGCTGGGGATGGGGTGGGACAGAGGAAAGGAGCCTCTCGCTGCAAAGCAGCCCATCTTTGGTCCCTGGGGGCTCTCTGGACCACACAGGCATATCCCCGCACGCCAGGGGCTGCCCGTGCCCTAGCTGCCGTGTGGCAAGCACACAAGATTTGTTCTGTTCTGCCACCATCCACTTCGAGGAGCTGGGTCCCCATAGCTGCCCTTAAGCATGCCACCAACCCCACAGTGCACCCTGCCCAAAGCAGAGAGTAGTAATATTATAGTGAAGGTGGATGGCCAACAGAGGAAAATCGAAGAAGTTACAAGACACGCAATCAATCCCTCTGTGCCCTCCCCAGCTCCCCCTCCCTCCCTCCCAAATAAATAAGTTAATGGGTTTAGGAATGTTCCCATACGAAGTTCTTTCCAACTAGCTCAATTCCTCCTCTGGTTTTGTTTCATTTAAATGAATCTTGAGATTCTCTTTCTACCCTGGAGCAGCTGCATAGACAGTCTCCCTACAGTAGCTCCTCCAAAATTAAAAATGAATTTGTGCCAGGGAGAAGCCAGGCTCCCGGCCTGATGTCGACTCTCGTTTTGTTTTGGTGAGAACTCCGCTGTGATCCTCCGACCGCAGCGGGAGCAATACCAAATCGAGACCTCCCGCCAAAAGAGTTCAGGCTCCGGCGAAAGTCCCCGAATGATTTCTGCCCACCGGCCTTGCCCCGATGGGGCTGGAGCCACCGTCTTTCCCAGGAGAGTGCGTGCGGGGACGAGCCGGTGGCTGCTAGAGACAGTCTTTACAGAGAGCCACCTGGCCCTTGATGAAGTCCCGGCAGGGGCAGATCCTCCGGTGCCTGGGGTGGGCGCCAGCACAGCTGAACAGCAGGAGGTCACCTTGAAACACACAGTGCTTGCTCTTGGGGTCGAAGGAGGGCACCAGGATGTCCTTGGCCATCTCTGAGCTTTGGCAGGTCACCTCGTACCTTGCGGGGGAAGAGAAAGGGGTTAGGGATGCAGGGGTCGTCCTCACCCCTGCCTCCTCCTGTCCACCGTCCGAGGCGTGGGGAGCTCGTTCGGGACTCCTGCAGTAGAAATGAAACGTCAGCCAGCCTTTGGCCCAGCCATTCTCTCACCTCTGGAAATCCAGGCTCGAGAAAGGCATGTGTGTGCCTGGACACGTGTGTGGGGCTATGTGTTCAAGTCTGCTTAGCGAAGCACTGTCCGTAATGGAGAAAAACTGGAAATAACCTGAATACTCAGCAAGTGGGAAATGGCTGAATCAACTATGGCTCATCTGTACCATCAGAGTTACATGCAGCCCTTGACAAAGGAGAGGTGGAAATGCGAGCATTAGCATGAGAGCTGTCCTCGAGTAAGGCAGGTAACAACAGGATGTACAGTGTACCGACGGGTGTGTGTGTGTGTGTGTGTGTGTGTGTGTGTGTGTGTGTGTGTGTGTGTCTGTGTGTCTGTGTGTGTGTGTGTGTGTGTGTGTGTGTCTGTGTGTGTGTGTGTCTGTGTGTCTGTGTGTTTGAGTGAGAGAGACAGAGGGACGGGGGGCGGGAGGGGGGGAGAGGGAGAGAAGTCATGAAAGACTACACACTAAAGACTTAACAATGTTTACTTCTGAGGAGTGAGACTGGGGGAAAGATAGGCATTATTTACATGTTGTTTAAAAACTATATTTAATTTTCTCAATTAATGGCTTAAAGATACCCCTGTTAGATGGCCTTAGTCCCCACTGGACAGCAGTCAGACGGTCTCCTGGGGAAGGTGCCGTCCTGGACCTGAGTCACTGGACCTTGGATGACGGTGGCAACAGTAACACCCCCACCCCAGCCCTCCCCAGCTTGAGGTTTCTGGGTGCGCAGAGCAGGGACCGAATCATCCCAGGTCTGTGTTCTTGCCCCTGTGCCATAGTCTCCCAACAGGTGAATTTTCTGTGGGCTGGAGACCCCTGTGGCTTTGCTTTCTCAGCCTGGGACCACTGCCTGGGGGGCGGGGGGGGTGGCGAAGGAGAACCGGATGTTTCTGTTTTCAACAGTGTTGGCCTCATTTCAAAGAAGAGCCACATAAGTTCTCTTCTTACCTGGGGTACCTGGGTCCTACCCACCTTGTCCCCTGTACCCCACATGGCTGGTGGGGACCAGTTCAGAGAAGGTGGTATAGGAGGGCCAGACAGATCTGGGTTTGAGTCCTGGCTTCATCTCTTATGAGCTGTGTGGCCCTGGACCAATGACTGAGCCTCTCTGTGGCTATTTCCTCTTCCGTGAAATGGGGATAGAGAATCCTTACCTCACAGGGAAGGTCCAGGGATTAAATTAATGCTTATCGAGCAGCTGGCAGAGTCTAGCTCTGGGAAGTATTCAACACATGAGACCTGTCATGATTCCCATCATCACCCTGCCCCGGCAGACGCTGGCGGGGCTATGCCACCTGCCTCCTTTGCCCAACAGCGAGAATTTACACACATGCCAACCATCTCTATTTTGCTTTGTTCACGGAAGTCTTGATTCTTGCCGGTAGGGAGGGGATCTGGATGTGGAACCTGAGGTTTCCTGCTGCCTCTGGAAAGCCTCCAAGTGTCGGGGGAAGAGCACGTGGTGCCCCCATTACTCCTGTGCCCTCTTTTTTCTTTCTCCCGCCAACTAACTGCTGGGGCCCACCTGCCCTCCTGCCAGTGTTAATCTGGTGGTTCCCAGTGCATCTGCTGGGGCTTCTGGTGAGCTCTCCGAGGCTGCCTGCCTGGCTCCCGGTGCCCAGGAGGGCAGCACCGGCCCCTCTTGCTGCTGCAGTCACCAGGGAGCTCTGCGACTTCTCTAAGTGGCCCGATACCCCTTGATGTTAGGTAAGCCAGCCGGGAGACGGAGGCACGCAGAGGGCATGGCGAGGGCGGGACGCGGAGGTCTTAAGGAAACCTGAGCCGGAGACAGGGGCTACCAGCTCCCTCACAGGACACTCCTCCTGGCCAACACAAAAAGGGGTCTCCAGAGCTCCACTGTGCGTGAAAAGTTGCCACATGGAATGCGGCGCTGGAATCCAGATTTGTGCTCGTGCTATTTATTTATTTAGGCGAATTATAGCAGCTGCTGTGTCTTAACTCAAGCCATCTGCCTGGTACACTGCTCGTCAGGAGCGCGGAAAGCTCCACAACTCATCTGAGACCCCGAGGCAAGGGGGAGAATTGCCAGGAGCCAGGAAGAAACCCTCCTCCCGCCCCTGGTCTCCTGGACTCAGACTCCAGGCCCAGCCTCCTGGGGTGTGAGCACGTGCGCCCATGACCACGAGGCTGCAACAGCAGCAGCCAGCCCAGGGCTGATGCCCAGAGATGACCACGAAGCACTCAAGCAGCAGGTGGTTCCCGGAGCCACAGGGGACCCGTCCGCAGGCAGCTCCCCAGAGGTTTAGCTGAGGGGCGCTGGAGCCAGCCATGGGTGTGACCCTACCCCGGGGAGCTCTCCCTTCTGTTAGCTGCAGGTCTCTGTCCCACAAGCCCCGGGGCGGTCGGGAAGGCCCCTCCAGCATCCTTGCTGGGCTGGTGAGCCACAGTCCTCAGCTGTTGCCGAGGAGACCTTCCCATTGGCTGGAGCACATCCTCACGCTCTGCCGTGGTCCCTCGCCTCTTCAGAGCACGCGTGTGGCTGTTTCTGCCTCTCTGTTCCTCGGATGTCTGTGTCGCACACACGCGCGCGCACACACACACACTCCCCGCTCAGACCTGTGACGCGCTGTGCTGTTTCCTTTCTGTGGGCCCCTGTGGTCCTCACCTCTCTCCAGCTGGCCTCGGTGGCTTCTCTCACAGGATGGGAGCTGGGGCTTCCGTGGCCCCTCAGCCCTTAGTGTAGAGTTTATAGCTCTTGAAGAAGAAGAGAGGGGCAAAGCCCCCCTTCCCGTGGGGCTGCCTATTTCCTGAGGGGAGAGAAGCCACCCACCCTTCTTCCCCCGACGCAGACCCACTCAGGATGAAGGGATGGAAGCAGGACCCACCGGCCGGTCTGACTCCTTCCCCCGCCCCGTATCCACCAAGTCTCCCCAAGCTCCCTCGTCACCACTCTGACTCAGGGCCACCTCCCTGCTCCGAAGGTGCCCACGACCTCACAGTCCAGGCCTCATGGCTTAGAATTCCTGTTCTTCAAACCAACCAACCCACACTCAATAAATGAATCTTTTAGAAAGTACAACTTGTATAGGTCGCAACATCACAAAGGAAGCCTGCCGCTAACACACGTTCCCATTTCGGAAGCTGAGGTGCGCCCGCCCTGGGTCCCACCAGCCCAGACTCTGGCTCTTCCTGGGGCCTCTGTCCCCCGGCCACTCTGGCCCCGGTCCGGGTCAGGTTGGGTGCCACCCGAATCACGCATGCTCCGTGCACAGGAGTTTGTGGTCGCCTCTCCATCACCCCCACCACGCCCTGCCTGACTCCCCGATTCAAGACGACAGCACGGGACGCTCCAAAGGGCTCTACTTAAGTCACATCAGGTCACGCTGCAGAGCGAGGACAGGCCGGGGACACCCAAAGACAGAGAGGAGCTTAAACTCAGAGCCAGGCCCCAAGCTGGAGAATAAAGAGCAGCAGCTCGCTGCTAACCGGCCATGAACACGAATAAGCCAGGACTGCCTCACTGGAGAGGGTTTCAACAGACGCGCCAGAGAGCCGGGCTTTCACGACGTTATCGGTATTTACAAATGCAGAGGCAAGGTATTCACCAGGGCTCCTGCGCACAGAAAAATTAACTTCAGGTGGCTCTACTGCAAACTCAGCATTCACGGCAGCCTCCTAGGAAGAAAACCCACGTATCTACAAGGGGATGGGGTGGGAGGGGCGTTTAGTAACCCCACGGCCGCCCCGCAACAAGGCCTTCTGCTCCCTGGGCTCAGCTTGGAAGACGGCGGTGGGGGGGGAGGCGGGCAGGGCACTGGAGTTTCTGGTCTCAGCCTGGTGGCCTCAGGCCTGCCCCACTGCCCAAGCTCTCTGCAAGACAGGGCTTTTCTGCTCTGCCTGCAGCACCAGCTGCATCTTCTCTCATCATTACCCGCGCTATCCCCATCTCACAGGTGAGGACATTGCTGGGGACAGAGGAAACTGGTTCCTTGGTTCCCTGTCCTGTGCCTCCGCGGGACCTAGCCCTTGGGCCTGCAGACGGGCGGGCTGTGGTGGGCCCCGTGCTCTCTGAGAGCGAGCCCCGGGAGCCCCGCCTCTGGCCTGGCCAGGAAGGCCGCTGCTGCTGAGGGTCCCATCCGGGTTCCCTCCTCCAGCGCTGGGGCAGGGGCTGCACGTAGACAGTTCTGTGTAGATGCTCTGTAGTCTGCCCCCAGTGCATCCAGACTTCCGATCAAACAGAGGGAGACACTCGGGGTTCTCAGAAAGCCACTTTGCTACGGGAGCCGTCTGCAAAAGGGGCGAGTGGCAAGCTCCTCCTGGACCTAGAATTTGGGATACGTGCTCTGGAGATGGAAGCTTCTGGCACCATCAGGGGCTTTCCACAGACGTCAGACCAGTGTTCCCTGCCACAAGGCTTCACTGGCTGCAGAGCAGGCTGCCGACCGACTCTGCTGGCCTGGCCTTTATTCTGATGGTGGAATCGAGGCCACCTTTGATCCAGGTCTTCACGTAAAAAGAACGAGAAAAAATAGCATCGTCCACATCCCCACTCAGGAGAGCATCCCTGTAGGCGCGACGCTAGAGACCACGCTCTTTCTCTGAAAAGGGTTTTATACCACACTTGAAGGTAGTAAGACTTACAGGCAGGCTCAGGCCAGCTCAGACCACTGGGCACGGATGAGCAGTGGCCAACCATGCTCTAGAAGGGTGTGAAGCCAGAACAGGGACTGGCAAGCCTCGAGCCCTGAGTCCACTCTGTGCCTTATTATTATTATTGGCGGGGGGGGGTGTTGCGTACGGCCTGCAGGATCTTAGTTCCCTGACCAGGGATCGAACCCGTGCCCCCTGCAGTGGAAGCGTGGAGTCCTAACTGTTGGACTTCCAGGGAAGTCCCCACTATGTTCCTTAAACATCCTCTTCAAGACTGGGGCACATATATACAATGGAATATTACTCAGCCATAAAAAGAAACGAAATTGAGTTATCTGTAGTGAAGTGGATGGACCTAGAGTCTGTCATACAGAGTGAAGTAAGTCAGAAAGAGAAAGACAAATACCGTATGCTAACGCATATATATGGAATCTAAGAAAAAAAAATGTCATGAAGAACCTAGGGGTAAGACGGGAATAAAGACACAGACCTACTAGAGAATGGACTTGAGGATATGGGGAGCGGGAAGGGTAAGCTGTGACAAAGCGAGAGAGTGGCATGGACATATATACACTACCAAACGTAAGGTAGATAGCTAGTGGGAAGCAGCCGCATAGCACAGGGAGATCAGCTCGGTGCTTTGTGACCACCTAGAGGGGTGGGATAGGGAGGGCGGGAGGGAGACGCAAGAGGGAAGAGATACGGGGACATATGTATATGTATAACTGATTCATTCTGTTATAAAGCAGAAACTAACACACCATTGTAAGGCAATTATACTCCAATAAAGATGTAAAAAAAAAAAAAAGACTGGGGCAGAACCACAGCTGTGCGGAATATCTAGGGTTGGGATAGCAAATCCCTCAGGGGAAAACACCGCATTAAGAGTTCTTAAGGTTGGGAAGGGGTGACAGGTAATTAACCAGGTTGTGGCCCAGGGAGGGTGTGATAAATATCGAGGCACAGATTCAGCACTGACAGGGGGCATGAGTCAGAGGCCAGAAGAAACTTCACATGGAAGCCTGGAAAGTGCAAACACCAAACTCAAAATGCCACTGCAAAGGGAAATGAATGGTGTGACTGCAAGTAACACAAGCAGCACGAGAAAAGAAATCCCAGCAATAGAGAAGGTCCTTCCTGGCTCACTCTGGCCTGTGATCCCACTGCTGCACCTGCACCCCTGCTCAGGGACCCAGCAAAGCCAGGCCTGCTCACGCCCTCAAAGGGGCTGGAATAAAGCACAAAAGGAGATGGGGCTACAGGAGGGGAAGGTGGCAGGGAAATTTGCTGCGGGCAGTGCTGTGCTAGCTCCCTGCCCGTATTTTTCATTTCTTCCAGACTCCCTGACTCTGCGGACCTAGCTACAGCCAGGGGACCTCAGGGGCGGGTCCGTCCGTGCTTGTGGTTCTGTGCCCATCTCGGCTCCCATGGTTCTTGGGTACCAATTAGCAAACCGAACATCTCCCGCCATCTCCAAGCCCCGACTTCCCGTTATTTATGCAAACAAAACACCCCTATTCGAATTCTAAATATATCAGCAGGCCAGGTGACCTCATCTACTTAACAATAAAAGCGCTGGGCCAACTTGCTCTGGGTGGAGGGGGGCGGTGGGATCATGCTATAACCTTTTCTACATCTTATTCCAACAGCCCACGAGCCTAGAAAGGAAAACCTCATCCCTCGCAACCCAGCTCTGACCCAGAGGCGAGCTGCAGGCTGAGCTGCCTCTCCCGTGCTCCGGCACTTACTTCAGCAAGTCCTTGTCCTTGTTGAGATGCTGGAAGAAGGAAGGCTCACAGATGAGCTGTTTCTCCTGACACACCTGCTTGCAGGACTGCCCGGGCTCAGCAAGCTTTACCTGCAGGGCACTCAGGGGCGGCCACATCACTTGCCCATGGCAGAAGTCCTGGAATGACAATGAAACCATCAGCCAAGGAACCAGGGATGCAAGTGGGGGGTCCCCAGTCTGCCAACTAGTCCCAACAAGGGGGCCGGGCACCTGGTCATGGGAGAGCAGTGAGGGGCAGGAGGCAGGACCAGACAGACTTGGGTTGGAACCCGGCTCAGCTAGAACACGGTCTTGGCCTTGGCTTTCTGTGCACAGCACTGTGCCTGCCAGTAACGGGGGCTATTCATTCGTAACGCCACCTACAATGATGCAATCGAGCTAAAGCCTCCACGCTTGAAAGCCCATCTCCAGATCCACCTTCACCAGCTGTTCTATTCCCTCCGCCCTAATTCCAAAGACATTTTCAGTGTCTACCTAATTTGGCGGTTACCTAATATGACACTGTTTTGTGAGTGCTGGTTTCAACTTTGGGAAGCAAGGGAGCACAGCAAGGAGTCTGCAGGCATCTGGGAGAGGTCTGCAGCATCTGGGAGAGGACTATTGCGGGGTCGTGGTCTTGATAGAGGCTCAGTGCTTGTTGGTTGAAAACAATTGTAACACACAAATTCAACGGCTAGAGAAACAGTCTGAGGATGTGTGATAGGAGGTCAAGTAAGCTGGTAGGGAGGGGCGCCCCGAGGCATGGAAGGTGGTGGCATGCTCAGGATGGGGCTGGGTGGTCATTCCTAGGATCTAGAGGGTGCGCAGGAAATTAACACATCCAAGGAAGTCACGGGCGGGCAAGACCAGGAAGTAACCTGTGCAGCATGGTGAACGGGCAGCCTAGTTATGAAGCTGAGTGTTGAGGAGAAAGACGCAGTGGGACCAGGGAACGGGCAGGTGCGGAGTGGGAACGCTCTCTGCCCTGGGACCCCAGCTTTCATCTCAGCTGTGCCTGGAGCGACCCTGCACAGGTACTGAGGGTGGAAACTCATGCACCACTGGCAACCAGTGCTTGCTCTGCTTGCACGACGTTGATGGAACCCTAGGAAAATTCTTCTGAATCCCCGGGGCCGCCCAACCTGCAGAAGATGATGTCAGGGCAGGAGCCCTGAAGAGCCATGTCTGTGTAACTTTATGGGGGGCGGGCTAGCCCTCAGGGGTACCCAGTGGTTAGGGTTAGGATCCTGGGCTCTGAATTCCACTTGTAGGAATTCACCCCAGACGTATGGGACACAATTGGGCAAAGAAACCTACACAGGACACAGGAATCCCAGCAGTATTGTTAGAAGAGAAGCAGAAGACTTGAAACAACCTAAAGGCTGTATTTAGATGCAAAGAATCTGTTTAGATGCAAAGAATACCAAAAAATGCAACAGGTTCCAATGTGCTGACATGGAAACATCCCCAGGACATGCTGAGAAAGAAAAGAAACAGGCTGAAGGCTGGTGTATATAGTGTGTTTCCGTTTGCGTTGATATGTATGAACAATCACGCCTGTGTTCCTGCAAGAATATCTCTGGTACCACTGAGGAGGGGAAACGGGTAACAGGGCCAGGAATGGTCAGGGAATTTACTTTTCAATGTATGTCCTTCTAGAATATTCTCTTTTCCCTCCTGCCTACTTTCTCTCCTCTGCATGCATGAGGAGCTGATTAATCCTATCAGGCTTTCAGAACCGGTGCTGGCGGGGGAAGGTTCCATGTCCCCCGCCGGTCACGTGGAGAATTGCAGGAGAGCCGGGCCCTGCTGGGTCCCTGAGCAGTGAGGTGGGTGCAGCCCCAGAATGTAGACCAGAGCTGCATCTGCGGGGGAGCCCTTCTGGGCTGCTTGCATTTTTCTCTTTTAAACCTCAGCTTCCTCCTCAGAAAAATGAAGACAATGATACTGATGATTTCCTATGGCTTCTGCCTCTCTCCACCTCCTTCCTGAAGGAGGTGACGCCGTTACACCGTTAAGGAAGGTAAACGGCAGGTAGGCTTCTACTCCAGTCTCCTCAAATTGGTGCTTGAGACCCCACCAGTAAGGAGAACCCGCCGTCGTTCCCCACCTCACTCGATCCTGCGATGCAGGGATGCACGTGCTTGAGCCTGAGTGGTTAGGCTCAAAGGTTAACAAATAAATCCTTCACTGCACGTAGTCAGGAAACCTAGAGCCTGGATTCGTATCAGCTGAAAACAAAAGATTCCAGAAGGGTCTCATAATTCAGAGATGATAGAAACGCACTGGATTATTTACAGATAATAGGATCCAGTTTAATCTTTTGAAAGTGACAGAGTAAGCAGTCTTTCCTATCTCACAGCCCTGGGTATGACCAAGGCAGGCCACTCCCCGGGCAGGAAGACGTCTTCTGACTCCTGAGATCCATGATGATCCTGAGCGTAATACATGGACGTGCTAAGGCACGGGTAGCAAAATAACTTTGGTCTAGACACCGTTACTAAGGGTGACAGCATGACTGCAGACCCGTGGCACCCTGAGTGGGAACCCTGAGTGTTCACTGGCGGCCATTGTTCTCTAACCTGGCAGCATATGGAAACTTACTGGCTGGCCTTTGGTACTCTGTCCATCAAATTGGTAGGAAAACACACAATGATCAACGTAGTTATTGCTGATCAAAGCTGAGCAGGTGCACGGATGTTTGGAAAAGGTTAAGTGTTTTTTTTTCTTGTTTGTTTTTGTTAGTTTTTCTGGCTGGCTACTGCAAGCAACTTTGCCTATAATCCTTTAGGAGAAATCTGAAAACCTCTACAGCCTTTAAGTATTATAACAAAGAGAGTCATGATCCAATGGACACCAAAGCCTACTGTGTGACTGTGTGGGGGAAATCTAGATCACTGGACACCCATGATGGCTGAAGGCTCAAACTCTGGCTTCTATAGCCTGGTAAGAACACTGTAGAATGTCGCTCCTTACATGACATCTACAGGCAGTTAGAACCGAGGGTAGCATCTCTACACCTGTTGAGTTTGGCAGACTCTCAGGAAACTTTGCTTCTTATTTATTGTGAGCCTTGTGTGGTTATGTGAAGCAGTCCAAGGGGTACAACCAGAACGAGGAGAAAGATTCTGCCGTGTTAGAATAGGAGGTGACGCGGCCAAGGAATGCACTTCAAGTCTGACACCCAGATTTGAGGCTTGGCCTCACGAGGGGCGGGGTTTTGGGTATGCTGCCTGGTCCGGTCCTTGTCTGTAAGAGAGTGATGCTAACAGACTGTGCGTGATGGAGCTGAGCTGGCAAACAGCAGGAGGCTCCCCTAACGCTCCTCACCCTCCTCTTGTCCCTCTGCAGACGCGCTGCCTGCGCCCCGTATCGGGGTTTGGAGGCCCTGGAGCACTGGCAGCTGTAGAAGCAGGGGCAGCCCTGGAGAGATGGAGCGCTGCACCTTACCCTGAGCCAAGGCAGGATGGCTCTGCGAGGTCTGCAGGAGGGCAAGTGCCTCAAAGCTACGCTGCAGGACAGATCTGCCCCACCTGCTCATTTCAATAAACTGTTGCAGGCGACCTCTCTGAGGTTCCCTTCATCAGGTGAGCTTAGCTCAATTACACGTGAACTCTTAGGCCCCAGGCACTCTTGCTCGTGGCTCACCGGGGGCCGGTCTGGCATCCTCTCAGTACTCTGTTTTAGGGGCCAGTAGGATCAGAAGTAGTGAAAATATGTCGGTGAGAATGTATACTGGGTGCAGCCACTATGAAAAACAGTATGGAGGTTACTCAAAACATTAGAGTTGCCATACAATCCAGCAATCCCACTCCTGGGCATATATCTGGAGAAAACACTAATTCAAAAATATATATGCACCCCAATGTTCACAGCAGCTCTATTTACAATAGCCAAGACATGGAAGCAACCTAAGTGTCCATCGACAGATGAGTGGATAAAGAAATTGTGGTTGGACGATAGATAGGTAGATATGGATACAGATATAGGAATACTACGCAGCCACGAAAAAGAATGAAATAATGCCATTTGCAACAATATGGATGGACCTAGAGGTTATCATGCTAAGTGAAGTACGTCAGACAAAGACAAATACCATATGATGTCATTTATATGTGGAATCTAAAATATGACACAAATGAACTTATCTATGAAACAGAAACAGACTCACAGACATAGAGTAGACTGCTGGTCGCCAAGGGGGAGGTGGGCGGAAGAAGGACGGATTGGGAGCTTGGGATTAGCAGATGCAGACTATTATATGTATGTATAACTGAATCACTTTGCTGTACACCAGAAACTAACACAACAATGTAAATCAACGAAGCTTCAATAAAATAAATTAAAAACAAAAAAAAAGAAATGGTGCAAAGAGCAGCAGGCCCTTCTTAAGGTTTGGTGAACCATCTGGAAAGCCTGAAGGTGATAAAATTGAACAGATGGAGGCCTGAAGGTGTCCTTAGTCAGTATGACACCAGGTAAGGCAGGAGGGAGTGGGGATCTGAGTTATGATTCTGGCCCCCAGCTAGGAGACTTCATAGATGCCCCTCAAGCTCTCTCTGCCCACTTTCACATCTAAAATGGAGAAAATATCACTTGTCCTTATATAACTCCTGTCAGATTAAAAAAAAGAGGTGACTCTTAAGAAGGTACCTACAGATGTTAAAGATAATACTCCGAGGAAGACCCTTATTTGCTGCCAGGGTCCAGAGGGAAACGTTGAGTTGCCCGGATTATATATGACAATTGCCCACAAGGGCCATCCCTTTGCCCAGCTGCTTGAAGGGCACAACTGACGCAGCAGCCCGTCATAAGCCTTTTCTCACCCCCAGGTGCCAGCCCCACTGGGTGCTCGCAGAAAGCTGGAGGTCCTCTGTTTCATTCAGCCTCAGCACCAGCTATCAGGGCAATGCCGACATGCCTTGTCTCCCTGTTTGCTCACTCACTCGTTCATTTGTTCATTCAATAAAATACTCTTGCTAAGATGCAGAAAAGCATAAGGGTTTGGAGCTCGAACTGCTGGGGTTTGAATCTCAGCCTCTCCATCTAGCAGCTGAATGCTCCTGGCTAGCTCCGTAATTTTTCTTTGCCTCAGTTTCCTCAACTGTAAAATGAAGAATACATCAACGGCCACCTCC